CAAGGGAGACCCTGTGTCCCATGCCTTTGTGAGGATAATAAAATAATAATAAAATAATCATAACCAGTTGACAAAGGCAAGGGAAAAGCCAAAGGACCTTAGGCTCTATTTGTAGAGCAGCACAGCACAAGCCTGCACTGTGGCTTTTCCACAGACCCTGGGACAGCCCCAGGGACCCCAGCACTGCTCCCCAGGCACCCCCACTCTGGGCCCTGGAGACAGCCCCTTTCCCAAGCAGACTGGTGATGCAATTGATGGGATCACCCTGACAATAGCTGTGTGGGATGGGGTTTTTTGAAGCTGTGCACAACAGATTAAGCTCGAGGCCCCTGTTGTCATTGCCAGGCATTGTGCACCCTGCTGACATTGGCTTCTGTGGGCCAAGCTCTGCCCACAGAACAGCAGGAGCTTCAGAGGGGGGGAAATTGCTCCATCTGAGATGGAGCAGGAGGGTACTTGCACACAGTGGATTCCTGCTCCATTCAGGCATCTCCTTTCATTTACAAGGGCACGAGTTGTATTTGTTGTTTGAGCATTTTCTCACCCATCTGTTGAAAATAGGTGAGCAGGTCGCAGATGGGCTGAGAGAGATGGTCCTGCCCTGGGAATTCCATGCCAGCTGGGAATTGTGGAAAAGTCTGAAATGCTGCAAGATCTCTCTTCTGGCTGTGTCTTGCCCCAGTGACAGCAACCCACTAGTGTGGAGTGATGAAGAGGAAACTGAAACCAGCTCTGCAGCACCCAGCAGTGCTTAGGGAGGTTCTCAGGAACAGACATGATGGGCAGAGGGACAATAGCAGGAAGGGCCAGGCTGAAGGCTCCCATCTATGCAGACCAGTTTCCCTCATCTCTTCAGGGTACCTGGACAGGCCCTGGAGCAGAGGGCAGATCTGCTGCCCCCAGGGCAGCCAGGGTCCTCACATCGTGTCCTGTGCATCCCACAGCCCCTCTGAGGGAGCTGCTCCCTTACCAGAGCTGGCTCCCACCCCTTCCCTGCCCCTGCCCCAATGTGCCACTGCCTGCAGCAGCTGTGGGGCTGTGAACCTCGGCTCTCCAGAGCCCAATAAATTAAACCTTAGTCCAAAAGGGGCTTGGGCTGTCTTTTGCAAACAGAGGCTGCACAAAAGCTGCCTTTCTCCCTCTCGTTTGACTTTGTTTTCTCTCCCTCCCCATCTGCTTTTAGCCAAATGGTTGAATAGCTACAGTATATACTGTGGGAGCCCAAAGCCAAGGCTGGAGCATGGGGAAGGATGCAGAACAGCAGTGCCCTGTGGCCGCTGCTTTCCGGAGGGGCTGGGAACTGTTTGCTACCCTTGCTCTGTAACCCAGCCTCCATCACCTCACTGAACCCTTGGAGAAAGCAGCTCCAAAAGAAAATATTTGTGCTCTGGCAAGCACACGTGTGCACATTTCCTGCTCTTGAAGTCCTTAATTAAGCCTGTTTTTTGTTTGTTTGATTTGTTGGATGGTTTTCTTTTTCTATTTATGCTGCCACAGTCTTGGAGGGGGAGTCTGTCAGAACCCTGTGTGTTTTCCTGTTTTGGAGGGGGAGTCTGTCAGTCCCTGTGTGTTTTGCTGCTTTGGGAGCTGCAATGTGGAAAGCTGCCTGTGATAATCACTCAGGGAATCTGCATGTTTCAACAGGGCAGCTGGGAACCAGCCAGGCCTTTGATGTTGCTGTGTGTGTCAGTGCTGCATTGGGACAGTTCTGCAAATCACCCAGCACAGAGGGGCCTCAGCCCAGCTGAGGCAGATTGGCTCTTTGCAGACCTCATTTAAGAGATTCAAGACCAGCACATTTAGCTCAGAGAGACCACCAAGCTTTTTCCAGTCAGTTTGGGGTCCTCCTGAGGGACACATCATTTGCAGAGAGGTTTGCCCACTTCAGGTGATGCTTTTGACTTTGAACAACCAGCCCAGGGCAGCCCCCAGGCCTAGCTGCACGGCTTTAGCTCAAAGAGCAGCTGCTCAGGGCAGTGTTGCAGATATTGACCCCAAGTTGTGGGGGTATGATCCTGCCACCAGCCCATCACTCATGGTGCTCATCACCCCCCCAGCTCTGCCACTGGGCTGGGAACAGGCAGGCAAGCAAAGGTGGAAGCCTGGGCTGGGCTGTTTCTCACAGCAAACATTTAAAAGCACAGTAAGACTAGAAAATCCCCATCTTTTGGTAATAAATCCCCCATGGAACCATGTAACACGTGTGTCTTAACACCCAGACAGCCACGCCTGTGAAATTCCTGAGATTGTTGCAAACTGAACCCTTCTTTCCCACCCTGAAATTTCACAGCAATTTACATCTCCAAGCCACCAGGAATCACCATTTGCAGGCACTGAGGGGGATCTCCTGTCCTTTGCCTGCTTTCTGCAGCCCGTGGTGCTATTTTGGAAATTCTCTCATTTACTGGGTGGTTCGACTGAGTACAACTGCTCTTTTGGCTAAAATCATCCCCTGCCTGTCATCAGGTAATTAGAAAGTGCCCAAAAGCCAGTGGTGCTTAAGGCAGCCCTGGGATAACCACGGCTTTTCTTTTGTGGATAAAGGACTGGGCTTTGGAGGCTGTAGACTTTTCCACCTAAATTAGATTTTTGTTTAAAATGTGGGGGAAGGTAACAGTGGGTGAAAAATGACACCCAGAAGCACAGCAGCAATGCTGCAAACACAGAGGTGGGTGAGAAAAGCAAATGCTGTCTGCTGGAAACACTGTGGAGGGGGGTCAGGGGGAAAGATCACTTTGAGGCAGGGGAAACAAAAGAACTTTTAGAGCCAGTCCCTCAGGGCTTGCCCAGCTCTTACTGGTGCTGCAGCTAGAGGCAGTTTGTGGATTCTCACAGTTCAGCTGGAGCTGGGCTGAGACCCTTCTGAAGAAACCAGAAGTGAAGAAATTAAATAAAAAGAGACCAGCAGTGAAGCCTCCCTGCAGCTGGGACGCCACATTCATGGATGGCAATGAACCATGGACCCGACCAGCTGCTCATCCTGCTGACACATCAGTCTTCCAGCAGGCCCTGGGATGTCCTGCACAGTCTGGTGTCTGTGGTATAGGAAAGCTCCTTTTCCAAGTGCCACCCTTTCCTGTTTGCATTGCAAACTGAGCCTTTCCTTGTCTGAAAACAGCCTCAGTGTCTGGCATATTGTTTCCTGTGGAAAATGCTGTGGCGATGTTATCCGTGTGGGCTTGTCAGGGTCCCTCTCCATGAGATGCAGTCAAGTTCTGGGTAACATGATAAATGATGTTGCAGTTGGGCAGTGGTGGAACAATGAACAATGAAACTCTGCTTAGGTAGTGACTCTCCTATTCTTTTAGTCTATTCTTTTAGTCTTTTTTCTCCCAAGGCTTTGCCACCCTGCAGGCCTGCAGCTCTGTTCAGACTCAACCACCCCAGCTGTATCCAGCCCAAATGCAGCCCACACTCCAAAGTGAGGACTGTCACAGGATGTCATTACTCAACAGGCCAGAGCTTAAAGCAGAGTCTGCCCTCTGCCCACACTGAACAATGGAGAGGAGAGCTGGGAGATTGCAGCCCTGCAGATGGGTGTTGGAGCTTCAGGTATGTGCATGAACCTCCTGGCTGGCTGTGGGTAGAAACCTTTCCTTGTCTGCCTCAGAGATAACAGGCTGTACCCAAAGCAGAGCAAGGAGGAGGGAGGAGAGCAGCCAGGGCAGCGTGGGCAGCATAAACTGCTCCCCAGACACCAAGGACGAGCAGCTTGGTTTCAGCAAGATGGAGTGGGAGCTGTCCTGTGTGGGCACCACACAGGGGACACCAGGCTCCCTGCCAGCCTGGCAGACAGCAAGTGCCACCAGGACTGTGTCTCCAAGGCCACTGTGCCATCCAGCTCTTCACCAGGTGCCAGCACACGTCCTCCCCCAGCCACCAGCGCTGAGCCACTGGCTCTGGCCGGGCCTGGGAGGAAGATGAGAGCAATAAATAATAACTGAGCTTGGCAAACACCAGCTCAAGGCAGCAAGGGCAGTCTAGGGAAAGGGATTCACTCACTCCCCCGGACCCTGGAGGGGTCACACAGGGCATCTGAGTGCATGGACACAAAGCAGAAGCAGGTCTTGGTTCTGGGTCTTGGCTCCGGAAACTTCCTGCCGAACTGGGAGACTTTAAGGCAAGAAAATCACTTGTAGCCTTTAGCTTCCCTTAATTTAAACAGTAATAAAAAGTGTCTGTAACACATTCCTTGAAGTGCTTCTCCAGCCCCCTGCAAGTCCATCCACAGCAATTAATAATCATGCTTGGATCAAAGGTAAAGAAGGACTTTGAACAGTAAACTACTCTAAGAAAGAATAAATCGCAATTATGTCAAAATTAATTTAAAGTAGTTACAAAAAAATTCTGAAATGCAGAGTAACCTTTTCCTCCAAAGTTTAGTTGCTTTTCCTTTCTGTAGAACAAGCCCTGTCACTGGTAGGTGTGGGAGAATCCCCCATGTGAAACCAGACAGCAGACTGGGACACACACATGCGATCCCTCACTGGGCTGAAAACCTGAATTAAATGAAAGCAGCAGTACAGTCCAGAAGGCTGGTCACTGGGCCAGGAAATGAGAGACCTGGGATATGCCCACACCCTAATCCTTCCTCCATCCCTTCTGTGTTTCTCATCAGGCCAGGCATTCTCTTTTGCACACTTGTGCCTCAAGGCCACATTGAGCTGTAAAGGACACTTGGTTATCCTTGACTTACAGGGGCTGCCAAAGTCATTTCTGCCCAGCACTTGCATCCCAAATGGAAAGTTTGTTTGTTTGTTCTGTGATGGAAAAACAACTTCCAAGATGCAGATTCCCTGAATCTAAGTGACATTCACAGTTCTCCTGAGATATGTCCCTCAGGCAGAGGTTGCAGTCAGCTTCTAAGGATAGCTCCAATTTCCTGGGAAACCTGTCCTGCATGGAAAGGGGAGTCTTCCATCCCTAAAAGCTGCCTCTTTCACAGAGAACCACTCAAAGCAGTACAAAGACACACAGGACACACAGACACACACTGAAAGTTAAAAGCAGTGCCTTGATTTACTGTGGGACTAGAAACACCACACAACCTCCTCCCCCAGCCCTCTCCACTTCTGGAGAACAAGGCCCAGCTGTCTCCTCCTGCCAGCCCTCTGCTTTCTGACATCTGGCAAAGGTCAAATGACACAGCAAGCTGGGACACATGCAGACTGTTAAGCCATCTTTTTGCTGAAGTCATGATTGCGTTCCTGCAAAATAAATACATAAATAAATGAATAAATGAAGGGGAGAGAACAGCAAGGCCCAGAGCAGATAATGTTATACAGAGATGCCCTCTGCCGGTCAAGCAGGAGGAGGGCCAAAGGAAATTCATGCAGCAGAGCCAATGATTTGCAACTTCCCTCCCTTCTTTTACAGACGGGCCCCTAAAAACATTCCCTATGTGCTGTGCAAAGTTTAAATTGAGTGGATTTTTAGCCTGACTGAAGTGATCTTGCAAGGGCAGTCCAGCCCCCTGCTCTCCTTCGTTTTGAGTCTTAAGATCCTTGGATAAGTCAAAGAACTTCAGTAAAAATGCAACAGGAAAACAAAGGCATCCAGAGAAATGTTCTGCCACGCTGGCCAGCTGAACTGACTCACCAGCTGCCTTGATGTCATATAAGGAAAGAAATGGGAAAACTGGGCCAGGAAAAGAGACACACCCCCCTTATTCGAGATTGACTTTGCTCTAATAGTTAAATTCTGCAGACAAATAGTCCACAAGTCCCTGCAAGCTGCAACAGCCCTTGCAGTCAATACTAGGAAACTGAAATACACTGAAAACTATTTGAGGCACAGATCAATTCAGATCAGCCTCCCTCTGTTAAGTGGGGTTGTTATTTGATTACAGCTATGATTTTAAATAATTTCTAAGAAGCACAGAGAGCTTGCTCAAATGATACAAACTGCAGATTTTCAATCTGTTGTCAGCCTATTAAGCAATGCAGATCCATTGCACACACATCACTATCAGCTCAGCTCTTTCTTGTATCAATTTAATTCCTGCTGGTATAAATCCCTGATTTAATTTACTGACTGGGAATTAAATCAGCATGAACTGGTTTCAGTGCATCTGTGCTGGGCATTTGTGATGATCCAACTAGACCATTAAAAAAAATGTCACTGGATCAGAAAGCTGCACTGACAGAAACAAATTCTTAGGAGATGCCATGTAATAATTTTGCACACTAAAGAACGATACATGCAGCGAGTGGGCAGCCCTCTCCCACTTTATTCTTTTCACTGAAATTGAACCTTGTCTGCCAATATATTTTACAGTCAGCAGAGGTTTGTACATGTCTTCATAATGCTGGAATTCTGGGAAAATTGACAGGCTGCAACCATCAGGTTGTCATTGGAGTAGACAGTTGGCCAGGGAATGTGTTTATTGGGAGCTATTCTGAAAACCAACATTTTACATCCAGAAGAGTAGCAGGGAGCTGCTGTTTTTCCATCCTTAAGTGTAATGAAGGATTAAAAGCCTGATCAGGAGAATCAGCTATTGGAGGTGCTTGTGCTGAGAGCCAGCCCACAGCATCTCACACCCAAAGGGCTCTTTGTGTCCCATCACCCTCCCACCACTCTCTCTGGCCAGCTGTTAAGTGTGTTTGGGATTTGTTTCCATGCACAATGTGCTCTGGCAAACCCTGGGTCCATCTGGGAATGGCACAGAGGCTGTGTTCTACCTCTCCACTACAGCCAAGGCTGGCATCACACAGGCTGTGCAGAACAGCTAAGGGGTCCCTGTGTGTGCTCCAGCTGCTTCTCTGACATGAGGGGTTTGCTGAAGCTGGACCTGCAGGTCTTTTTAAATTTGTGCTTTCCAGGAAGATGCTGTTTTACTGGCAGAGCTGGAAAAAGCTCAGATGTCTCTCTTCCACACTGGGTTCAGCTGGAATATACCTAGCTCCTCACACCAGGCAAGGCTACTGTGCAGACTTCTCCCCAAGGTAGGAAGCATTCTTTCCAGTCTTCTTGAGGGTTTCCAAGAGGGTGTCAACGTTGTGCTCTGAGTCAATGTACACCTTCTTGTTGGGCAGGTCAATATCAAAGTTGACACCTATGAGGAAAAGCATTTTGCAGAGTTAGAAGCAGCCAAATGGTGTAAGCACATGGGAAGCTCACCTTCACACATCTGTGCCCCCCAGGGCATCAGACAAATGGACATTTATCTCCTGCCAGCACACTCTGACACCACCACCAGCCAGCAAAACCAGCCTGCTGTCCTGCCAGCTGTGGTATGAAGGAAGTCAAATCTGCTCTAGCTCCACATCAGGTACCAGTCTCTCAACTGCTTTAATCTGCTCACCCCACCTTGGATCAACACAATTGTTCATGTAGGAATCTGTGTAAGCTGATTTCAAACCAACCACTAAAATTTCCACCTAGCTCAGTCTGTGCTCTGGTTTAGTGTGAACAGGGTTAGGAAAGGCTCAGGACAAGATGCCTAAACTGGCAGTGCCACCTACCAGCTGGAAGTAAAAGGAGGAAAAAGACATTTTACCATGTGGATTTCCCTGTGCCTAATAAAGGTGAGCCACTCTCACCCCAGTGAGAGGAACTGGACATGCAGTCTCTATCCAGTTATGTATTTCACAAAACCTGCAGGTATGGATCAGCTTTGAGAGCTATATCTCATCATCACTGAGGCTGATACTGGCCAGCCTGTTGAGGAGTGATAGAGGTGCTGACAACCACACACAGAGAAAATGGATTGTCACAGCCTGGTAATGGGGTCTGGAAGAAGTTGCAAGGCCTTTGCCTTGGTGGCTGGAAGCTGTTCTCCCTCAGAGGGGAGCAGGTCCACACAACTGACGAGTGCAGGCCAGATCCTTCTCTCTCGGAAATGCCAGCAAACAAAAGATGGGTTACAATTTTTATAATTTTCCAGGTGGTACTAAAAATAGGCCACAAAGACAAGCACCAAAGGCTCTGCTCAGCAGCTCTTCCCTGTGACTGCTGATGACACATCTGGGGAAGCACCATGGACACCCCAGGCCTCCTTGGAAACAGGGCCAGGCAGGACATTCACCTCCCTTCCCTCTGGCAGCCTGAGCAGGCCAGGGCTCAGGTGAGGCCCTGGTGACTCAGAGCCACCTGCAGCCATGGCAGCTCCTCCCTCCCTTGACACTTCTCCAAGGGTCACAGACCTGCAAACAACCAGTGACTTGTCACCAGCTAAGGAGCAGCCTCAGAGCAGAGCAAGGACAAGTCCCACAGCGTTATCCTTGAGGATGGAGGAGCCCAGGGCACTGCCCTGGAGCTGGCTGTGCCACAGCCAGCACTGACTCACCTCCCAGCCTGTGCAGGACACGGGTGACTGCATTGGAACAGCCCTCACAGGTCATGTCCACGAAGAACTCGTGTTTCTGGAGAGAAAAGAGGCAGTCCAGGGTCAGGGAGAGCACAGCTGGAAATGCACCATGTGCACTCCACACCTGCCTTTTTCCTTGGGGAGGTTCAAAGCCTCCCAAGTCAAATGGTCCATACACACACCACTAAGGGATGCTCAGCAAAACTGAGAACTCTTGGTAGTCCTCCCTATGGTGTCCTTGTGCTGTCCCCCACAGCATAATCCTGAGGCACCTTTGGAGATTGTGTGGCTACCTCAAAGTCAGCGCCCATGGCCATCTCCATGGCCTCTGTTGGACTCAGCCTGTCCAGGGGACCCAAGGAGAGGCAAATCTCCTGCCTCCACCTACTTGCTGTCCTGACTTAAGTCTGTGAGGTTTTCACCCCATCCTACTCTTCTTGCATCTACAAGGCTTCTGGTCTCCAACATAATAAAAATAAAAGCAAAACATAAATTTAAGGGTCATTAGCGCTGTTTTTCCATCCCTCCACTCCACTGGGGCCCCAGCGATATCTTCACTACTTGTGATCAACACTGGGTCAACAAAACACTGTTTGCCTGTAACCAACCACTGCCTTCAACCTTTGGCACCAGATGGGTCCTAATTTCCTTCTCTTGCACGTGCTTTTTACTTTCATTTAAAAAGAAAAGTAAAACTATTGTGCCTACAACCCATATTTCCTTCTAGTCAGAACCACCCTGTGCCCCCTGCCACTGTGAAGCTAAAATACCCTCTTGGGATTTTTCACCCAGGAAGGAGCCTGGGATGGACGTTCCCATTAGGGTTTTTCTCAGTGTAATTGCCATTTTCTTTGGTTTTATTTCCTAAAGGCCCTGTGTGCTTTGGGGAAGTATGAAGGCAGGGGGGAAGGAGAGTCCCATAAATGCTGCCCTTCTGTGTCTGAGCCCTGAGGGCTGGGAATGGCCCGGGTTTTGGGGGAGTTTGGGCCTGGGGGAGCCTTGGAGTTTGGGGGAGCTGCAGGATCTGGGGAAGCTTTCGAGGGCTGGGGTAGCCTTAGGGTTTGGAAGAGCTGCAGGATCTGGGGGGGACCTTGGGGGACTAGGGAAGCTCTGGAGGGCTGCGGGAGCCCTGGGGAACTAGGGGAGCATCGAGGAGAGGGGAAACTCTGGGGGCTGGGGGAGCCTCGAGGACTGGGAGAGTCGGGGGCTTTGGGGGAGCCCCAGAGCCTGGAGGAGCCCCGGGGGATTGGGGAGCGCGGGGGGCTGAAAGAGCCCCGGAGGTCCGGGGAACCTCGGGGACTGCGGGAGCACCGAGGGTCGGGGGAGCCCTCCCTGCCCTGCCTCCCCGCCACGTCCCCCGGCCCCTCAGCGGCCCCCGGGCCCCGCACCCACCGGCATGGCGGAGCCGCTCCCGGATCCCGATCGCGGCTGCGGGCGCGGCGCGGAGGAAGGGGCGGGCCTGGCCCGGCCTCGGGAGGCGGGGATGTCGCGGAGGGCGAGGGAAGAAGCGGTGCAGAGCCTTGGGATGGTGGCTGGGCCGTGTGGAGCTCCAGCACGGGTGCTCTGCTCCCCTCCAGGCTGGGGATCAGCACGGACAAAGGGCTGCGGGAGGGCGCTGGGGACAGCCATGAGGATGGGCTGCTAAAAAGCTCGTTCGTGTCCGACTTTTGAGGTTTTGAGATTGATTGGCTTGGGAGAGTTTCGGTAGACTGGATATTGAGGGCGGGAGGTTTGGGGGAAATCTCTAAAGCAGAGGAGCATGTTGAGAAGAAGGGTCCTGGTCCTTGAAGATGTGTCTGCTTTGTTTTTGTTTTTTGGTTTTTGGTTTTGTTTTTTTTTTTTTTGTTTTTTTTTGTTTTTTTTTCTTCCCTGCCTGTATGGGCCTTTGAAGGAAAAATGGGCCCCTTTCTAAAAAACTTGAGTCAAGGTGGAGGACCCGGGAGCAGGGAAGCTGGAGTGGGGACAGAGCATCACATCACACCAGGGCTGAGGAGAGCTGGCAGAGCTCTGTGTGTGTGACACTTCCCCACCACGTGCTGGCTCTCAGCATCTTCCCCTTGAGAAGCCCAACGCGTAGCAGGCAATGTAACCAGCGTGTTTCTTGTTTTCTGCCTCACCAGCTGGGGGTCAGGGCATTTCTTTTGAGGTGCACAGGACGCTGCTGCTGTACCGATGGTTTTATAAAAGGGGAATTCCCTGCCCCGCTATTGCTCTGCAGAGAGATGGCCAAGATCCCCCTGGCAGTTTATTCAGGGCGGGCTGTTGTGCTGGGTCACTGGGCTCACGTTAAACTTTGTAAAAGTCTGCAGTGCTGATTTATGATCTGGCAGATTGCAGCGTGGCTTAGGCTAAAAATAGTCAGAGGTATTGGGGGAGGATATTAATGCTGAGGGTGGCCTCATGCCAATCCTGTCTGTATCCCTTGCTGCCAGGCATGGCAGGGAGGGCTTTAGGCAGCACTCAGGGATGTGGCGGTGGGCAGGAAGTCATTTTTACAGGGTGAAATCCATCTCTGAGTGCTTCATGTCATAGATACGTGTGGGATGGGATGTGACACAAACAAATGGAAAGCTATGGCTGCCTGGAAGCTGCTTAGCTCTGGCTCACTGCCTGCTCCCATTCCCTCCTGTTCGCCGGGGTCCCTGGACCAGCACCTGCTGGTGAGCAAGAGGATCTGAGAACTTCCAGGCCTTGCTCCTCCTTTGTAGATGTGTTAGAGAACGCTCCTGCTTGCATTGGCTTTCCTCTGGGGCAGACGATGCTGTCTGCTTTGCTCAGAAGCTGTGAGGGAAAAGCAGAGCTGGGTGAGCCTCCCGGGATGGGCAGGGGTCAGTGACCACCGGTGACCACCACGGTCAGCTTGGCGTGAGCTGCCGGGCTGGGTGTGATGGGGACGCCTTGGGGTGAGCAGCTCCTTCCGCCCACCCGCACTGGGGTTTCTCTCAGGTGCGTGGGACAGATGAGCCCCAAGCAGCCTGTGGAGACACAGCCAAAGCGGGCAGCCACTGCCTGGGAGTTCGCAGCGCTCGGCCGCGGGGGCCGGGCCCTGCGAGCTCCCTCAGCCCCCTCATGGCATCCGCCGCCATGTTAGCGCCCCCTCCCTCCCTGCAGCAGGGGGCGCTGCGGAGCTCGGGACGCCGCCCCGCATGGCGGCCGCCTGCCCCTTTAAGAGCCGCGGCGGGGAACTGTCCGTCATTGCCGAGCGCGCCCTCCCATTGGCCGCCTCTCCCCGCGGGGCCCGCCCCATCTATAACGGGGTTTACCACCACCTTCTCAAGGGCGCTGCAGTGCGGCTCAACCACACTGCGGCGTCCGGCGCGCGCCGCCTTGCGCGCCTGCTGGCGAGGGGAGCGTCGTCCCATTGGCCAAAGCGCAAATCTATCAGCAATCGCCCTCCGCCTATTGGTTCACCCGTCTGTCAATCACTCTGCCCGCCCCACGGAGCGCTGCCTCATGGTTGGCTGGCTGAGCTGCCCCTCAGCTCTCCGCCCGCCTCCTCAGGGCTGTGAGCCAACCAGCATCCGAGCGAGGTCGAGCGCCGCTCTCTGACTGGCTGGGCCGCGCCCGCTGGGGTAGGCTGCGCGCCGGATATATGTAGCCGGCGGCAGAGCACGCCGCTGCGTGAGGCGCTTCTCGTTCGCCGGGCCCTGTGGTGAAGCGGCGCCTCCGCTCCTGTCCCGCTCTGCCCGCAGGTGAGGGGGTGGGGGGCGCGGGGAGACACCGGCACGGCCGCGCCTTTCCCGGGGACACCGCGGGCCGCACGCACCGCCCCGGCTCCGCGGCGCCCCCGGCTCTCAGTAGGCCGCGGGCGGTGCGGGACGGCGCTGCTGGCGCCCCCCTCCCCCTCATCCCGCCCGCTCCCCGCCGCGCTTTGTGGCGGGCGCCGGCGCCCTCCCGCCCGACCCGCGGCCGCGCGGCCCCCGCGGGCTCCGCCGCCTTCGGCCGACATCCCGGTGCCGCGGCGGCCTCGGAGCCGCCGGCGGGAGCGGTGCGGGGCAGGGGGGGCGGCGGGGGAGCCGCTGCTCGCGGGCCCGCATTGTGCGAGGCGAGGGGTGCGGGTCGAGCTTTGTTCTCGCCTTTCCAGGCTCGGAGCCTTTTTCGCTCTCCGCTTTTGGGTTTTGTTTTGGGCAGGTGGGGCCGGGGAGGAGCCCACCCGAAGGCCGAGGTGTTCCCGGTTCAGGGGGAGCTGTGGCTGCGGGTGGAGGGGCAGCGCTGCCTGCTCGCACGGTCCGGACCTGGGTATCAGCTCGGGGTGCCTCCCTTGCTGTAACTTTATAGGTGAAGGAAGTTAAAATTCCAGCAGGAGAGCGTGGATCTTAACCTGGTTTACCGCATGACCTTGGCTGAATCCGAGATTAGGCTAAGATTTAAATGCGGAGTAGTGCTTGTAATGAGACTTTCCAGCATCCTGTAAGGCCCCAGATAAACGTGCTGGAGAAAGCCCAGAGAAAAGGTTTCCATACATCTTCCAGTCACTCCCAGTGTTGATCTGGGTGTTCTACGGCATTCCTCATTCTCTGCGGGCTTACCTGGTGACCTCCTGTGTCAAAGCTTGCATGAATAGAATAAGTAATCTTTACCAAAAAAAGGATTTTTTTGTTCCACCACCGGGGGAAAGCAGCATTTGCAGCACGCCGCCATGTTTCCAGTGTGTGCTATTTTTGGCAAGCCCCTGCTCTCACAGCCAGGAGTGACAGATTTAGGAAATCTGGACACTGCTATCAAGCTTTGGAAGCTGATGCTTCCAGATGTCATAAATCAAACGTGGCGAGGGGTGTGTTGGATTTTTTTTTTTTTAGCTAACAAACCTTGTTAGATTGATGTCATAAAGGGAAGTGCAGAAGTTGACAGACAAAAACTGCATTTTATACCTTTCCTGATATTTTTCCCTTCGACCAAATTTTCACTTTTCTTATTCTCTGTCTGTAAAGAATAAGCCAAACCATTTTTCTAGATAGCTCTGTGACAGTTCCATGATGCTGATGGCAGCATCTTCTCATCCTGTGAACTGAACTCACCTTTCCTGGGATGGGTCAGTCACCATATATAACAATGTAAAGTTGTGAGTTTAGCTTTTTTGTTTTAGTGGATGGTGTATGCAGCTAATTTGAAGGTTGGCTGGAAGTGTTCATGTGCTTGAAGTCTTACATCCTTATCTTTGTGATGGAAATCTCACGACCTTTTTGACAGCATCACGTGTTGCAGGGACTCGTTTGCCTGAAAGGCACTACTGAAACCTGCTAGAAAGTGTAATTGTACAAAGTCTGTTAGGAAAAATCAATGCTGGAACCTTTGCAAATGTATATCATAATTTTATAAATATAAGTCTTTTTAAAAACCTTATGCTTGTATACATCAGGAGTAAAGAGTGGCCCCAGTTCCTGACTGGGGTAAATTTGCCCTTTTTTTGCTAGGTTGTGTTAAGTGTGGACTCCTTAAGTTGAAGGCAGGGAAACATAATTAAAGTGAAAGAAGAAAACCTGGTGGAGAGGACTTGGTCAATGTGTGCCAAGCCCATCAGGATTTCTGTTGGAAATCTTTGTATTTGCAGCCTGAGAAACAACAAAAGGATTTGTTTGTGCTGTGATGGCAGGACCACTGCTCTGCTGCTCCCTTTGGTGCTGGCACCACAGCATCAGTGGAGTTCAACACATCTGATGGAGTTTGAACACCTGAATTTTAAACAGAATCTTTAGGCACTCAATGAAACAGCAAATTCTTTGTTTCAGAGCTTTATTTTTCACATTGCAAATTGTAAGGCAAACATACAGAGCAACACTTTTTGCTGAAAGGGAAATAAAGCAAAGGTGGTGTTGCTGTAAGTACATCTTGGTATTTCTGCTCAAAACAGTAGGAGCTGATGAGAGAGCACTCATAAAGGGGCATAAATGGCCTGTTAGAATTAGAAAACACTATTCTAGTTTTTAATATTAGCACCTGGGCCTTTTTGCCTGACTGAGGTGATGACTGAAGAATGAAGGAGGAAATCCAAGCAGAGCAGGACTTCAGCAGGGTGGTGCTGCTTGCTGTGCTGGCTGTAGTCTGCTCTGCCTGGAACAAACCAAAAGTGATAGTTTGCTCTAGAAGACTGGGTGATTTTTATTATTTTTTTATAGATGCCTATATAAAATCAGCTGAGTTGAAGTAGTTATTTGATTTCCTGGGGTACCTACTAGTAGACTTGATAACCTTAAGCTACCTCATTGAGTAATTAAAAAGAAAACCAGAAGTGTCATCCTCAGGTTCTGTAAAAGAATCCTTAAACTTTGCAGGCAGTGAGTTGTGCTGGCTTGAGGTCCCAGCTTTGCTATATTAAGTCTGGAGCTCTTCCAGGAGGCCGTGGCTGCTGCAGAGCAGCTTTCAGAGCAGGACCTGGCTGCTGTCAGTTATGTAGGAGTGATCTGGGCTGAACCTGACTCCTTGCTGAGGCAAACGTGCAGCTCTGCTCTTCACTGCCCACCTTCCATTTCCATCTGCTCTGCCCTGTGCTGTTCCCTGCCTGCTGCAGGGCTGGCTGTGTTGTGTTTTTAATGTAACAGTGCTGGGATGGGGCAGTCCTGAGTGCCAGGATACAGCTGATACATCAGGTTTAAGCCTCTTCTGTGACCTAAGTGGGTAGAGGTGAAAGAGTTGATTCTCTTTACAGTTCTCTGTTGCTTGGCATGCAGAAAATATTTTGAATCTTAATCTTGGTGATTCTAATCTGAGTGGCATTAAGCTTGAATTTCACTGTAGTGTTGGTGTAGCTCAGGGTTCTGATCTGCCTCTTCTGACTGCTGATGAGTAACTTTTGCTTTTTTACTTTAAGAAGCTGCACTGGAGCCAAATGGAAAATTTGCAGACCTAAGAGAAGATGACTGGACCTGCTGCCAACTTCATCAAGATGTTGGAGCAGCTCTTGGATGTCAAAACAAAACCTGTTCTAATGGCAAAATCACAGGGTCTGAGTAGCTGCTTTATCATGAAGTGATCTGGAGAGCAGTAGAGGCAGAAAGCTGACTTATTTCTTACTAAAGAAAAAGTAAACAAACCATTCAGCACTATCCTACTGCCCTTCAGGATGAAATTTATGTGTTTAAAATGTAGTTTTGGAGAAAAACATTGATCCTAACTGAGGGGTCAATGAGGTTAAAATAAGTTTAGTTAGAAAGGCAAATCCTTCCCCCACACTGGGGAGTTCATTTAGGATAATCTGATTTTAGGATTATTAAAAATGTAGGAATATTTCTGAGAATTCTCAAGGCTTTGAGTTTTCAGAGAACTCGGATTTTGTGTTCCTTTTTGTGGAATTCCTTTTTCCACAAAAAGGAACACAAAATCCGAGTTCCTTTTTGGCTTCTGTCAAATCACAAGGGCCACATGTTTTTCTGTATGCTAAATGCGACAGAGCTCTCTTTTTGTGAGGATATGAAGTGTTGCTCCTTAGGCTCAGGACAAATCACTTCAGTTTAATGTTACAGCAGGTAACTGCTGAATAGAAGTGAAGATTGGTGTCAAGTAGAAACTTAGAAGCCAGGTGAAACAGCTTTAAAAAGGAAGGAAAAAACCCTCAAACCCACAGCATACTAGGGTGTGGAAGGGGAGGCAAAGTGTTTTTAGGGAGGAAGAGAAAAGCCAAACACCTTGTTAAAAATTTCTTACTGTATCACTTAGTTTTAATGGCAGGTTTTTAGGATTCTTCTGGGTTAGATTTTTTCCCCTTCTCTTGTAAGCAGGACCTGATTTGCTATTTGTCTTTGGAGCTTTATGCTCTTAGCCACAGGAATAGTGTTTGGGATCATTTTCCTTACCCAGATGAATGTTCATCCCTTACTGTTTGCTGATATCAAGTACCCTGAGTTACACTTCAGGTGATCTTTGTGTTTTTAATCTGCTTTTGAGTTTAATGCCCTGGAAATAACATTTCTCCAAAATTATCTCTTTTCTTTTAGATTGACTGAAAACATTAGAAATCTTCAGTTTGTCTCTTTCTTGCTTGGTAGAACTGAAAAACACAAGTGCTGAATTTTGTCTAAGAAATGGCAGACTCCACCATATCCATCAACTTGTGGATCACACTTAGGTTTGTTAGCAAAAACACAGGCAGACTTCTACCCTGACAGCTCTTCAGCAATTGCTGCCTTGTTTATTTGTATTCTGCCAGTGTTTGAAGGGCTGTGCATTGCTGCTGAGTAAGGCTTCCCATCTGCCACTGGCAAGCAGAGGGGGTTTGGTACTAGCATGGGCAGTGCTGAATGTAATTCTAAATTATTTTTTAATTTTGTGATGAAAACTTCTTTTTATTGTGCTTAAATTTTGTTTGAGTGGATGATTTGATTAGAAAATAGTTAAGCTTCTAACTTAATTCTTTTTATCCATGTGTTGGTGTGATACATGGCTTTTTTAGAGAGTCCCATGTCAGTGTGACTCAGAAGGGGCTCAGGTATTGCTCTGCTTTTCTGCTGCATCTGGGTAATTCAGCACAGAGAAAGCTGATTGCTTGAAAAAATCATCATTTTTTTAGGTTCTAGTTCCCTGTAACACCTCAAGTATCTTATGAAGGTTGGCACTGCCTGTCTTTGTAGGTTGTGTGGGTCATACAGTGGAGATGAGTCACAAGTGAAAGGAGAAATAGCTGTGCTATGTTTGACAGTCTAGATCCACATTTTATTAGGTGTTTGGGAGATTATTAAAGGCTTCTCTGTCTGCATGA